CACGTTTCTTCCTTTCCACGTTCTTCTCTCGTTGGTTTTCTTCACATTTGACTTTCTTATCTGCTTTTCTTCACATCATTCATAATATCCATATTTTTTTCGAGTAGAGTCCTTGTGATAATTGTGTGATTGTCAACCCCTAACCGAGCGAAACCATGATCAAATCGAGTGCGACTATGAGCAAGTGATTTTATAATAGTGATATCACATGATTATCACACTCATATCACACCAAATCATTTAGTCGATTTCACCCGTACTCGTTGTGATAAATGTGTGATTGTCTAACCGTAATCGATCGAAACCATGATCAAATCGAGTGCGACTATGAGCAAATGATGCTATAATAGTGATAACACATGATTATCACACCCATATCACATCAAATCGTTTAGTCGATTTCGCGCATAATCGTTGTGATAAATGTGTGATTGTCTAACCCTAACCGATCKAAACCATGATCAAATCGAGTGCGACTATGAGCAAGTGATGCTATAATAGTGATATCACATGATTATCACACCCATATCACACAAAATCTTTTAGTCGATTTCGCCCGTAATCGTTGTGATAAATGTGTAATTGTCTAACCCTAACTGATCGAAACCATGATCAAATCGAGTGCGACTGTGAGAAAATGATGTTATAATAGTGATATCACATGATTATCACACCAATTCTTTTAGTCGATTTCGCCCATAATCGTTGTGATAAATGTGTGATTCTCTATTCCTAATCGAATGAAAGCATCTTCAAATCGAGTAATAGCGACAGATACCTTGAATAAATTGTGTTTTACGAATTCTTCTTGTTGTTCGATTCCTGCATGCAAACCTTACGGCTTCTTCTTCTTGTTCGATTCCTGCATCCAAACTTTACGGCTTCTTGATCTTCAATTTCTCCTTGAAATCCTTTCGATACCTTCTTAATCGATACCTTCTTCTCGGTTTGAATAAATGATAAGTGTTGAAATAAGTCGATAAATCTAATTTACAGGATGATCGGGTTAATGTGATCGTGTTTAAAATTTTATCATTTTGATTTCTAATAATACCCTTTTGACTCTCAATTTTTTTTGAATCATTTTAAATTTTAATTTTAATTTAAAAAATCTTTTAATTGTTATTGGCATAGTTAGCGGAATATGGATTCAAGAGAAAAAAAATCACCTGACATTCCTCTAGTTTACCTTTGCTACTTTCGGTGCGGGAAAATCGGTCATTTTTCCAAAGAATGCAGAGGACTACTGGTAAAGAATGCTGATTACTACAAGAATAAATATAAATACAATCCAAGAGAGCGAATCCTGATGGCTGAGAAAGAAAATTGGGTGTCTGATTCTTCATCCGATGAAGAAGATAAAGCACTCATCTGTCTGATGACCACGTCCAATGCAGAATCCGCCTTTGACATTAATGATCAGGTATGTGAGTCTACTATCGATGAAACCAACTCTGCTCCATCTGAGATAGAGTTAAGGGTAATAAAACTTTCAGATGACTTCTTGAAATTAAAAGAAAAATTAAATTTTAAAAAATCTGAAAGACTTAAAGCGGAAAAAGAAGTCGGTTTCTACAAGAGAGAGACTGATCTTCTAACCGAAGAAAAAGCCGAAATCATGAAAGAAAAGACTCGCATCGCCACTCTTAAAAAATCAGAGAAAGAAAAACTTCTGGAAATAAACAAGCGAGTAACCAAAGACTTAGAAAAGAAAACTAAGGCCTTAAAAGAATCCGATGCAGAGAGACTTAACTCAGTAGCTCTCAAAGATTTCTTTCAAAAAGAAAGGGAGGTTCTTCACCAGAAGCTTCAAACAAATGAACTTCTGATGAAGAAATACAGGGATGCCCAAAATGTATATGAAAAATTAAACGGTCAAACGGACACTCAAGGGATTGGATTCAATGAATTGGACTCCTTCATCGAATCAAAGAAATCCACCCTTGAATCCACTTTCAAACTTGGATGCATTAAAAAACCCAACTTTTTCCCAAACCTAAAGCAAATTCTAAAAGAGTTAAAGTCGATGGAAAAACTGTCGTTTTATGACAGGATTTTGAAAACGTGGTGTACGAGAGCAGTACATGTAAGAATTATGATGTCACAATATGAGGTTAATAGGTTGTTCTTGTGTTCTTGTAAATCACAAGGGTTCTCGTTTGAATCATTCCCTATGTATGTATGTGTGTGTGTGTGTGTGTGTGGATGTTCAAACGAGAACCCTTGTGATTTACAAGAACGCGAGAACAACCCACTAACATCAAAAAAAATTAATTAATAAATTAACTTATATTAAATATAAATAAGTCAATAAGGACAGTAATGTAATTAGGTATTTTTTAAATTTTTTATTTTATTTTAAGTAATTAGAATTATCCCTTTTTTTGGATTGATCACGTTTCTTCCTTTCCACGTTCTTCTCTCGTTGGTTTTCTTCACATTCGACTTTCTTCTCTGCTTTTCTTTACATCATTCATAGTATCCATATTTTTTTCGAGTGCAGTCCTTGTGATAATTGTGTGATTGTATAACCCTAACCGATCGAAAACATGATCAAATCGAGTGCGACTATGAGCAAGTGATGTTATAATAGTGATATAACATGATTATCACACCCATATCACACCAAATCGTTTAGTCGATTTCGCCCGTAATCATTGTGATAAATGTGTGATTGTCTAACCTTAACCGATCGAAGCCATGATTAAATCGAGTGCGACTATGAGCAAGTAATGTTATAATAGTGATATCACATGATTATCACACTCATATCACACCAAATCGTTTAGTCGATTTCGCCCATAATCATTATGATAAATGTGTGATTGTCTAACCCTAACCGATCGAAACCATGATCAAATCGAGTGCGACTATGAGCAAATGATGTTATAATAGTCATATCACATGATTATCACACTCATATCACACCAAATCTTTTATTCGATTTTGCCTATAATCGTTGTGATAAATGTGTGATTCTCTATTCCTAATCGAATGAAAGCATGTTCAAATCGATTAACAGTGACACATACCTTGAATAAACTGTGTTCCACGGCTTATTTTTGTTGTCTGATTCCTGCATGCAAACCTTATGGCTTCTTCTTGCTGTTCGATTTAACATCAAATTAAATGAACGGTTGAGATTGATTTATTGATTCTACAAATGTAAAGAGTTGCATAATAACTCACATCTCTCTCTCTCTCTCTCTATATATATATATATATAGAGAGAGAGAGAGATGTGAGTTATTATGCAACTCTTTACATTTGTAGAATCAATAAATCAATCTCAACCGTTCATTTAATTTGACGAATATGTGATTTCATAAAAGTTATGATTGTTTCTTAATATAAAGTATTGATCATAATTAATAAGTCATAGTCATCTTCCATAAATATTGAAATCATAATAAATGAACTTTCATCATTTCTATAAATATCTCAATTGATTGGGTTGCATTGGTTGTACAAATGTGATGACTTGTATTTGAAATGGTCATATATATATATAAATATATACACACACACACACACACATACACACAAATACATACATACATATATCACTATGATCCATACAATACATATATAGACTTGAGATCACGTGAGACCGACCTGTTTTTATGATACCCATGATACCACTTTTTTACACTTAAAACTTCATAGCAAAACACTCTGTAGGTATCATTCACAGTGTTTTTGCTGTGAATGTTTGGATTTTTTTTACATTGACAACGTTTTGTTGTGAAGTTTCAAGTGTAAAAAAGTGGTCTCATGGATCTCACAAAAACAACTCGGTCTAACATGAACCCAACCCTATATATATATATATATATATA